GGGGGGGGGGGGGGTAAACCTCCATGGACAGTCCTTAGATTTAAATATATTATGTGTGACATATATTGAGTCTATGGGCCTGAAGTTGACATTTTATGGAGACTTCAACCTGAACCACAAATCTTTATTCGAATTACTCAACAAGAACTTACAAGCAACATATTTTCCATGCAAAATAATATCCACAATGAATTAGATAAGCTAGTCCACCAACAATTCAGAATGTCCTTGAGATCGGTCGTAGCATCCCTTTGTACATAATCATCTACTGTATTATATATACCAATACATACAATGCGTGTCTATCCATATCTTTCCATGGGAATGGGTATATTGTAGACATAAGAATGTTATTACTGCATTCCCTAATATTGTCACATTAAAACTTTAACTGTTTGTTTTTGTTGTTTGTGTTTTTTTGTTTTTTTTTTTTGTTTTTGTTGGTTTTTTTTTGTTTTTCTAAAATTTAATTTTTTAAATCCAGTGAAGGTAAGCAGAGCAGAGGTGGGTGGGTGGGAAAATTTTTTTTATAATGTTACTCTGTCGACAGCTTAGAGTAAGTTACATTATTTTGCATGAACTTGTGCATGTTATGCGCCAATTAGGATGGGCTGTGTTATGCCCTATGATTGGTCAAAGCACAGAACACAGCCGTACAAGGTTTTCAATTGGTTCACAGCAAGTTTCACGGTTTGTTCACGTGAATGCGTGCTAGCTGGCAGAAGATTATCTTTGACCTATATGTCAAGATCTTTGACCTAACTGTCAGAGATTAGGTTGATGTAAACCAGGGATTCCTCCTCATCTTACCATTGCACCTTGTCTCATTAACTTAAATTTATATGGGCTATAAATTTGCTTTAATGACCCAAGTTGACAACACAATATTAAACACAAATCTTTATTTTGTGGGAGAGGGGTTCGGGGTTGTGAAGGGTCCATTTACAGTATATGACAAGCATCATGCCTACTCATATGTCACACCCTATTAGCTGCACTGATTCTGAACTGGCACTGATAATCTTACCAAGATTCACTTGGACAGGCCTAACCTGACCAACTAGAGCACAAGACCCCAGTATGGACAGTCCTTACCCTGACCAATCGGAGCACAAAACCCCTATGGACAGTCCTTAACCTGACCAAAGGCACAAAACCCATAAGGCCAGTCTTTAACCTGAACATGGGGGGGGGGGGTAACCCCCCATGGACAGTCCTTAGATTTAGATATATTATGTGTGACATATATTGAGTCTATGGACCTGAAGTTGACATTTTATGGAGACTTCAACCCCACAAATACACAGAATGTGTATTCCCCATAGACGAACCCTCCCCCCGAAACGTGGTTAGTTACATAGCGGTTAGCACATCTGTCAAAGTGGCTGATACCCCAGATAGAGTTGCCAATGGAATTTTGATATATCGTTCATAACAGTCAGATGTCCATCGTCCTAATGTTTTGATTAGCCTGGATGGCAGTTCTGCAGAGGCTGCTGTTGTTGCAGCACCAATCCGATAGCTATGACCAACATAATGAGCAGCGTTTAAGCCAGACTTAGTGAGAAGAGATCGTGTCTCAGTTATCAGTGCTTGCTTTGTCAGTGGCTTTCCTGAAGCATGAACAAAAAGGGGCCATTGAGTGTTTTGCGACTTGTAAGATATCGCTTCATAGCTAAAACTGGACATAATGGTGAGCTAGTAGACCCAATTGTAATTGTTTGACCCACCCGAAAGGGGTCAGTTTTTGACTCTTTGATCAAGATTGTCATCTATTTGGGTTTTTGTGTCTCCTGAATAAAATTAAATGATATATTGTCTGGTGTCAAGTGGGTATCGGTATTAAATTTGGAATTACATGTTAGTTCTCCCAGACGGAGGAAACCAAAGAATGCCAAAGTCATTGCAGCCCAGAACATTAATGAGTGATAATTTTTGGTAGATGGAATGGATAGTAACAGGTGGAACAACTGCAGATGATGAATAGTTATTGGTAAGCGTATTCGAATTTGGCCACCTTGATCTCTCTTTATACCACGTAAGACCAGTTGCAGGCGTGTCATTTTTTGAAAGTTTAACTTAAAACCCTGGAAAATAAGATAATGTCGAACAGCTGCTAGGTAATTTTTTATTGAGGAATGTTTTATAGTTCTAGCCAAGTACACAACAAACTCAGTCAGCATAGATTCTGTTGCCGGGAGACACTGTTTGACTTGAGTGTGTTTAACTAAAAGGATGAATTCAACAAAGCGTTTTTCACCGTAGCTGTATGTTTGTTTGGTAGAAGGTGCCACTGCCAAATTGATATATTTTTCAATGTCTTTTTTGAAATTGTTAGCAGAAAAGTCGGGATGTAGTATGGGTTGGGATCTGCATGAGGTGCCAATTGTGTGAACCGTTGGTGCTGAAAACGAGAGAGTCTGCAATTTCATTTTGTTTTCCGGGTGTGTTGAGCTTGAATGTAAAAATTATATTGCATTATTAGCAGGGTCAAACGGCGAATTAGATCCATGGCCTTTGGCGCACGTGAACGTTTTGTGTTAATCATACTGACTTCTGCTTCATTGTCACAGTTAAAGATAACACGTTTTCCCTGGAGAAGCTCCTCCCATATCTGGCATGCGACTATAATGGCAAAAAGCTCTTGCCAAGCAATACTAATTCCTGGTGTTCCTAGTTGTTGGTGGGGTTGCCATGTGCCCTGGAACCATCTAGACTCATATATACCCCCATACCCTGGTGCTCCTGATGCATCTGTATGGAGTTGCAGGCAATCTGAATTTTGCCAGGTGGATGAAAGGAAAAAGTTAGCTCCATTCCAATTTATTACAAATTGTTTCCACATCTCCACATCTTTAAAGAACCCGGTATTCAGTTTTATGTGGTGGTGGGGGCTTCTTAACATTTCAGGTTAAATCAATCATGCGCTGTAAGAAGGGCCTACCTGGTGGGACAACCTTGCATGCAAAGTTCAATGTACCAATTAGGGATTGTAATTGTTCTAAAGTACAAGAACGTCTGTTTTCAAATTGTCCAAAAAGTTCCTTCAATCGCTCAATTTTTTCAGTGGGAAGACGTGCTTCCTTTCTCAGGGTGTCTAATGTTATACCCATAAAGTCAAGTACCTGCAGGGGGGACCTTGAGTTTTACTCGGGGCAATTGGGATGTTCAGGTTATTGAAAGTAAGCAGCATATTGCAGCAAGGCTTTGCTGACAGGGACTCTCGGGAGAGAAAATTTCCGACTTAGGTTCAATGACTAAGAAATCATCTAAAATGTGGCATACAAAAGAAATGTGACATTTGTTAATCAAGATCCATTCTATTGCATCAGAAAGTTGATTGAAAATAAATGGGGCGCTTCGAAGGCCAAAGGGTAAGACCTTGTCATAATAATATTTCCCCTGCCAAAACATACCCAGTAGCTCATAATCGTCGGGGTGAATGGGAATCAGTCGAAATGCCGATTCTATGTCAGTTTTTGCAAAGAAACAGCCCTGGCCAAAACGCTTTATACCTTCAATGGCATGATCAATGGTGACATATTGCAAACTGAAATCCTCCTTGAAAATTGCATAATTTATGCTGGTCTTACCTGTCTTAGGAAAAGAGAGATGAAAAATTGTCCGAAATTTGTCAGAGTTCTTTTTTGGAACCAAGCCAATTGGTAAAATTTGGAAATGGTGGGTTATCGGTGAGTTCAAAGAAAGACTGTTTAATTCTAGTTGTTTCCATTTTCAATAAAAAGATTGTGAAATGCACTCTTTAATTGAATGGAAAGGTGAGGACCTTGTCAACGTGTATTCTCTGACAAGAATTATAAGTCCGAGGAAAGAGCTGAGTGATTATTTTGTTGGGGAAATTGTGAGAGCAAAGTTTGGGTCTAAAATATACGAGTTGACAATACTGGAAAATTTGGGTAAGTATATTAAACATTGAACTGTTTAATAGAATGTTCCTTTTCCACCTGTTCTTGGTGTGTTTTTTCTATTCCCTTCTCCATATCCTTTTGTTTTGACATAACCATAATCGTAAACTGCATAGTGCATATTAGCCATAACAAGATTTTGCAGCCTTTTAAAGTCTGTATACACTGTCTATGCAATTTCAATGACTGCAGTTGCATGAAAAAGGTTTCATGCTGACTATTTTATATGATGAGGTTATTATCAAATATCATTTTGGAGTGTTGGTGGCAGTTATATCAATAATAGGAATCAATTTAAAAACACTACAGAGAGCTCTCCAATGGATTCCAAGCAGGCCGGCTGATTAACACAAATATGGTTATGTATTTAAGTTTTCAAATTGTATTTGTTTTTTCAAATTGTAGTTGTTTTAATAAATGCATATATTTTATAAATATATTTGATGCATATATTTGATCATGGTCAATTTCGGGGCAATGCCAGAATATTCTTACTGTGAAAATGTTTATCCTACATTCGCATTATGAACTAAAATATCCCATTTGATACCAAATATTGCTTTCAACCATTGACGACAAGTTTTTCATGTTTGGAATATGCCCACGTTCGATCAGTTCGATTCCTTATCAATTTCTCATTCTGCTCATGATGGATCTTTTTGAATTTTCACATGTAAGCCACTGTTGAGTGACTCATGTTCAAAATATAAACGTGTTTGACTGGTTCATCTCCACACATGGACTCAGTTGATATTCTCGCGTGCAAATGCATGGGCGTACCAGAAGGAAAAAATTAGTTGGGGCGGAAACAAATTTGCCCGACTTTTCGGGATTTTGCCCGACTAGTACCCAAAAATTTTTCCCGGAAAAATTGTTTTGGCGACCTCCCCCGTCGCCAAAAAAATTTCGGTCAGTGTACCATTTTAGGGGTCAAAAAATTTTTCCGGACATACCTCAATTTCAATTTTCCAAAAACACAAAATTGACCAAAAAAATTACTTAATTTCCGACAAAATTGACAGAATTTGTCCCATTTATTTTTACCAAAATTGCCCGACTATTTATCGAATATTGCCCGACTGCCCAAAAAACTGGGGGGGCTACCGCCCCCCCCCCCCGGTACGCCTATGTGCAAACGTCAAGCCGAACACGTTTTTGCAATTGCAGGACGTGACAAGTGTCCATCCTTTAAAAATTGCAATCATTACTTGCGAACAGTTATGTCCCGGAAGAAAAACGTCAATAAAAATGTGTCTAAATCAACACGATTTTATTACAGCAGTAAGGAGGAACTTATTGTTACAGCACAAGATTCGAGTAAGACTATTAAAAAACTCCAAGAGAAGCTCAAAAGATCTGATGAATCAAATTGATGTTGGTCCAAAATCCAACACTGATTTAAAGCAGATCTTCAACAACCTATATCTTGGAGTTTCCAAAAGGAAAGAATGAGTAAATCACCTTTTACGCAAATGCAAAGATTGTCACAATAACTCTAAATTTGACAATGTTGAATTGCTGTACACACTCATTGTAAGGAACATATAGAGCATGTTGACACTCAAAAGATTGCTCCAGTTGATAGAGTTTATTGTTGTAGATGGAATGGTTGTTCTAAAAGTTACACCAAACTAAAGTTACTTGAGAATCCATATTAGAGAGTATACCGGAAGACTCAATGATGACTTTTTAGAAGTACTTTTAAGTGATCAACCAAAAGCTTTGAATACGAGTTCCAGACAAATGCGGTGGAACACCCTAGTTATAAAGTGGTGTCTGTGAATATATATCAAGTCCCATGGATTGTATGAAGATCTGGGGAATTCGGGTGAGATTCATCCTTTCAGTGCCCGTATTGCATATTGCACATTTGACTATTGTCTCAGTGACACTCTTTAATTGAAATAGCTGTATAACTAGTTAATATGATGTTGCATCCATTACAAAAAAACAAATCAAAAACACAGAAATGTAAAAATGAGGCGAAAAAACTCATTAAAATGACCCATTTTATTCCCATATCTGTTCTGCATTTTATCCTCACATCCATTCCACATTTAAGCTAATTGTGACATGCTTCACAATAACAAGTCTCATTGACCTTTGACTAGGCTTGGGCGGTTTTGCTTAAAACCAAAACCGAAAAACCGTCTGATTCTAAACCCGTAAAACCTTTTTTTCCCTTTAATTTTTACTTCAACTAAGTAAGAAGGAATTGTGGTAATTTTTTACATATTACGCAAACGAACAGTAGACAACACAACGCAAAATTGTGTAAAAGGTAACCTAAAGGCTAAAATGACTTCAGTTTTAGAATAAAAGGGTCAAGAACGCATTTGAAAACTTATACCTCTTTAGTTGTTATCGAATTTATGGAAAGGAATAGAATTTTTATTTAGTGTCATGTGATCGAGTTTAATTAGTGTCATGTTTTGAGAATTAAGATCGAGTTTTGGGCGATGACAGTAGACAATTACGTAATGACGGTTTTCCGGTTTTTGTAAAAGCTGAACCGAAATAAACTGGTTTGAAAATAAAACCGATAAAAACCGAAAAACCGGTAAACCGCCCAAGCCTACCTTTGACTTTATATTCCCAAGACCAAGTTTTTCATGAGTCATTTTCAGCTTTTTGCAAGTATTCAATAATGTCACTTATAGATGTCAATAGTTTCACAGTTATAGCAGTGTTTATAGCAGTTTTGACAAAGCTTTGATACAGATAGATTCTCATAAGATCTGGTAGAGTTCTCATTGCAATTGAATACTGCATTGAACACGAGTTTGCACCATTGTGCCAGATATGTGAACAAGGCCTGTTGATAGCTCCTTGCCTTTTCTTCTATTTCAGAAAGCTTGCTGGGAAGTCAAGCGGTTGGAGATAACACATTGGCTATTTCCTCGTCTTTCTCGTTTGTACAAAATCTCTGACGAGTCACAAGATTTTCTTAAGTCTCGCAAGTTATTTTGTTTATTTATATTTTCTTCGTATTAAAACACCATACAATGATACAAAGACCCGCTTCTGTTTAATAGTTGTTTATGCTACTGATGGATGCAATTTTTTGCTCTTTGTACTGAGTGTAGCCATCTACTCTGTGGTGTAGCACCTTATACAGACGATGTATAATGAATATACGGTCTAAACAATATATCAGCACTTAAATATTGAATGCTGGTAAAATACAAAACATCAATTTTTATATGCGTAGAATCTCAAAGATTTTCTCAATATTCATGTCTGAAATGTCATATATTTAAAAACAAACTGTATCAATCCTTCCTAGCTCTGTATAATGAATATACCTAGCTCCTTCCCAGCTCTGTATAATGAATATACCATCTAAATAATATTGGTACTTGATTGAATGCCCATAATGCATAACATCAATTTATATATTGGGCAGATTCTCAAAGATTTACTTAATATTCACGTCTGAAATATTTATATATTTTAAAACAACACTGTGTCGCTCCTTCGTAGCATTGTCACGCCATTGTTAATCTATGCATGTGCATTTGCACTGCTAAAGAAAAAATCGGATTTTCCGGGAGAAAGATCCTTTACACAACACAAGAAGCCTACGAGAAATGAATGTTATAAAATTTGCAATAATGACGATTCCTTAAAATTTTTGCGAACTTGGCAAAAGGCCTAAAGGATATTTAAAGAAGACAACTGAAATTGCCTAAATAACCTTCAAAGCACTAAGTACAGTAGAACCTAAGAACATAAATCGTATACATCCACCGGAAAGTTTACTCTATGACTGACCGAATGACTGACTGATTCGTTTGAATTTTCGCCACTCGTCATAATAGTGTAAATGAAACTTTACATTAACAACCAACTGATAACCTAGCAACACATTTACTACAAATTTTGTTCGAAGTTTTTCAATTTTGATTACCCTTGTGCCTTTTTCTTACCAAAGAGAAGACAGAAGCATGCTGCACACTTTTCAATTTGAGGTTATATTTGGCAGTTGTGATGGTGCTTCATCTAACCGATCGTTCATAATGCTAAACATAAATGACAAAAAAGCTCAAGCTACTGCCAAAATAAATTTTCTGGAATGCCTTTATTCTTCTTCTCCGATCCCCCTCATCTGATAAAGAAACTTAGAAACAACATACATTCCAGTGGCTTTAAAGAAAATCATCCTCAATATACACAAATGCTTTTTAATGAAGAACAATACATTCTACGGGATCAAATGTATGCAGTCTATAAAAGGGAGAAGAAAAGACATTTAGGCAGCGTTTACACTGTACTGTTTTCATAGCGTTCTCGTATTGTTCTTAATCCTCAAGGGAACGCAAGACAATAGTCTAGTTCTCTTGAACAGTACGAGAACGCTACGAAAACGGTACAGTGTAAACGCTGCCTTATATGTGACGGACATGAGAAAATCTTATGTTGAAATAGATTCTTTCAGCAAGATGTGCATGAAAGTTGCGGTTCAAACTCTCTCTGAAGAGATGGAGGCTAGTGAGCGTCAAGCGACAGAGCAGACATGTCACTACATTAGAAATTGTGAAATGTTTTGGAATGTTTTTAACTATCCCAAACCACTGAAGAAGCTAGATGACAGAATTTGACAGTGTTGTCAAATGTTTTGAAGATCTGGCTCTTGAAAAAGTTTCAAACAAAAGAATAGTCACAGCATTTTATCTTGTGGCAAACTAAATGTGACCTTGACGTAAGTGCATAAACATGTACTCAAAGCTTAATCTTGGCTCGATCTAAGGCCCTGTTATATGAGACCGGAACGAAGTCAAACTGGGACCGTTTCGGTCATAGTATTGTTTATAATAGATGTTTACATGAGACCGGGTCGAAAATAACTCAGACCCATCACAAGTCATTCTGCCTGCTTGACCCAGCCGACTGACTTCAGACTGGCATGAATTCAGACCGGGATGAATATAAACACAAATACATTTCAGACCGGTCTCGGCTGTAACCTTCACATTGGAACAACACATGCTAACAAAAGCCATGTAAAAAAGAAAATTGTTGGCAAGGGGAATAAGTAAAAATTTTGTGATTTTCGTACCGGTCTCATGTAAACATGTTGACAATTTCAATTTTCATTCCGGTTTCACTTCATTCCGGTCGCATGTAAACAGGGCCTAAGTATTACCAAGGGCGGTGTTTTATAGCACCCTGGTATGATCATGCATAAAATGCATATGCACATCTTATTATATTTCTGATAAGAATATTTGTTCTCTTTTATATGTATAGATAACAGTCAACGCTTTAAAAATGATGATTTTGTTCGTGAATACAGTGACCAATTGTACATCAATTTGAGCAAGATAAACCAAGATTTTGTCTAATCATATTTTTTATGTCAACGACAAATGTGTGGCAGCACACAAAACATGACAGCATATGTTTACGGGTACAATGTCAACAGCCTCAAATGCCTTCGCTCATCCAGATTACTGATGAAGAAATCACTCCCTTACTTCAAAGAAGAGGAAAGTCTGCCCAGGAGAAAGGCCAATGATTCTATTTGGGAAACTGTTCCTTGGTTGGTGGAGATTTAATTAACCAACATCTAAGGCGCTTTAAGTTTTAAAAACTGACAGAGTTTTGCATCACTCCACCTTGACTGAGGGCTTGTTTATATGACCTAGGGTACTACAGTTAGCAAGCGTTTATAGAAGTTTATCCAACTACCTGAAAGATAAGAGAAATAACTTTCTTCGACGTTTTGAGTGAAGGTCAATCAGTTACTAATTTTTTGATAAAGGACCTTCACTCAAAACGTCGAAGAACGTTATTTCCTTTATTTCCGGTAGTTGGATAACCTTCTATAAACACTACCTACACTGGCACCCAACGCTTGAGATCGGTACAAGGGATATCCTACTCCCCCAAGGCATAACAATGTGATTTAACAGCAACTACAACGTAAGTGTTTCGGCAGGTACGGTCACGCTGTTTATGAAAGACCACCACCTAGAGCCGGCTAGAGGGTCAATCTTTGTCCAGGCATGTAATCAGTTTATCTCCGCTACTAAAGGCCTGATTCCACGAGGCGGAATATTTCGACCAAAATGCAATTTCTCTTTGTCTTTTTACAATTAGTTCTGCTCGAGAGCTCAGGAAACAAAGAGAAATTTCGATTCGGTCGAAAAATTTCGCCTGGTGGAAAACTGCCTTAACGCTAAGGAGATCTTTTCAACAGTATTCATACATAGTATCAAAATTACTACAAATGAATAAACAATATGTACTAATTGGAAAATCCCAATTTTATCAGATAAATATGTGGCAAAGATGTTTCGCAAGCAGAGTGTCCTTGGTACCAAAGATCGTGTAAATAGCGCCTAATGCATGATGGTTGATTAATGTTATT